TAGTGTGATGGTCAATGGGAAGAATGCTCCTTACACTTGTGGTCATTGGGAAAGATTTACCTCCTTTATATCTATAATTTATGATCCATTAGTGTGATGGTCAATGGGAAGAATGCTCCTTACACTTGTGGTCATTGGGAAGATTTACCTCCTTTATATCTATAATTCATGATCCACTAGTGCGGGTGTCGGCAACCCGCGGCTCCAGAGCCGCATGCGGCTCTTTTTCACCTTTGCTGCGGCTCCGGAGCACACTGCCCACCAGGTGACAGGCAATAGGGTTGCCGTAGCTCAGTGGTCGGCAAGCCGCGGCTCTTTTAACCTCCCTGGCGGTTTTCCCGAGTGTAGCTCGTGGTAGAATTTCTATACCACGAGCTACACTCGGGCTTACCATGCGGCACTGATCTGGGGGTCCCTGCAGCACTTACCTTGTCCTTCGTTCCCGCGATGTGTCCCCTGCAGCGTCCCCGGCCATCTCCTCCGGCCGATGCCGGCATCCGGCTTCTTGTTCCAGTCCCCGTGACGTCGGGACGTACGGGCGCCGACGGCGGTGGGAAATTTAAAAAATTTAAAAAATGTCTTTTTTTTTTTTTTCAATTTTCAATAGTAAAACATTGCTGTTTCATCCCATTTCACATACATTTTGTCCCTAGTGCTTTGTCCTGTGCCCTGCCTGCATTTTGTCTGTTCTTTCTGCCTGGAAACTTAGAAAAGTCCATGGCGTCCAAAAAGCGTCCCTTTAGGTCAAAAGCGGTTTTAGACCGGCTAGAGAACAGCGATAGTAAATCAGAACCACTTGCAGAATTGAGTGATAATGATTTGTGGGGAAATTTTCCTAAAAATTACAGCCTAGAATAAAAAACTATTTCCATGCGAAAAAATGGTACCGCTTTCAGCACAAAAAATCGGAAGGAATCATACCGCCAGGGAGGTTAATGCAGCTCTTCTGTGTGCCGGGCGCCCGCTCCCCTCCCTCCTCTCGGGCGGCCGCCCCAAAAGTCAGGACTCTGCAGCTAGCCTGCAATGGGCAAACTACGGCCCGGCGGACCTTATAATCCGGCCCGCGGAGCGTGGCAAACATTGGCTGTCAGGATGTAGGCGGGGCAGCGTGACGAACTCCTCTCCTCTCACAGTCCGCCCTGAAGACCAGAACTGCGCGGGAACACGGCGAGAGGAACGCGCGGAGTACAGGTAAGTGAATTGACACAATATGGGAATGAATTACTATAGGGGGGGATGAATTACTATAGGGGGGATGAATTACTATATGGGGGATGTATTTTCAGTTTTAAAAATGTGGCTCTCAAAATAAATTTTTAATCGTGGTTTTGGCGAGATTTGGCTCAGTTGAAAAGGTTGCCCACCACTGACCTAAGGCTATAATTGTGATTATGACGATACACTGTGGCCCTGATTAACCCTTTGCTTACTGGGCCCTTAAACCCCTTCATGACAGAGCGCTTTTTGCAATATATGCATGTCGGATTTGTTTTAAATGTTGCAATGGTTTTGCGGCTCCCACTTTTTTTCCCTCTCGGAAACGGGTCCAAGTGGCTCTTTATGTCTTAAAGGTTGCAGACCCCTGCACTAGTGTGATGGTCAATGGGAAGAATGCTCCTTACACTTGTGATCATTGGGAAGATTTACCTCCTTTATATCTATAATTTATGATCCATTAGTGTGATGGTCAGTGGGAAGAATACTCCTTACACTTGTGGTCATTGGGAAGATTTACCTCCTTTATATCTATAATTTATGATCCATAGTGTGATGGTCAATGGGAAGAATTCTCCTTACACTTGTGATCATTGGGAAGAATTACCTCCTTTATATCTATAATTTATGATCCATTAGTGTGATGGTCAGTGGGAAGAATACTCCTTACACTTGTGGTCATTGGGAAGAATTATCTCCTTTCAGATGGCTAAAAAAGATCAATGGTGTCAGTGGGAACTTATCTGAGAGGCAGAATTTGCTCATTGCTCAAGGATCTCCTAGCAATCTCTGGAAGAACCCTGGTTGAGAAACCCTGAACTAGAGAGCAATGGTTACTTTACCCACTTCTATTCTACATTTGGACATACAGTATGTATATGTCCTTTAGTCCACTCAGCGCTACACATGATTGAGAACATTATAGAAATGGTTTCCAAAATGAAAATTCTTTTCACCACCTAATAAATTCACACAAACCCCTTCTTAAGCAATATAAAGAGTAAGGAGATAGCGCCCGCAATAGTTTCTGGGTTAGAGGCCATCCAGCACCATCTACCCTTCCCAGCCTTCCTCCGCCAACCCCCTCGGACTTGCATTCTTTGCTTTTCAGTTCTTTCAACCATGAAGTTTCAGCACATGTGGTTATTACCTAGGTTGGTCTGCCTAAGAGAACGCCCGCTCCTCCAGACTGATATCCACCTATCAAGGCATTGTGATATTTGCATCAGAACTAAGATTTAATGAGGGGAGTACTGAGGCAGGGTGATGTGATGTTTCCACGTGCATTGCATAGACAAATATAGAGACCCGGTGGTGATGTCCCTACATCTAAAACACGAATCTCCAAACTTTCTAAACAAAGGGCCAGTTTACTCTACTTCAGACTTTATGAGGGCCAGACTGTGACCAGTGAGAATAGAAAATGTCCTGGCGTCCAGTGAGGGTAAACAATGACTATAACTTTGGTGTCAGTGGGAGGACTAGTGTCCCATTGTTGGTATCAGTGGGAGGAATAGTACCCCTTCATTAGTATCAATGGAAGGAATTCTGCCCCATTGGTGTCAGTGGGAGGAATTGTCCCCCATCATTGGAATTAGTGGGAGGAATAGTGCCCCATCATTGGTATCAGTGGGAGGAATAGCACCCCATCATTGGTGTCAGTGGGAGGAATAGTGCCCCTTTCATTGGTATCAGGGGGATGAATAGTGCCCTTTCATTGGTATCAGTTGGGATGAATAGTGCCCCATCATTGGTATCAATTGAAGGAATTGTGCACCATCATTAGTATCAGTGGGAGGAATAGTGCCCCATCATTGGTATCAGTGGGAGGAATAGTGCCCCATCATTGGTATCAGTGGGAGGAATAGTGCCCCATCATTGGTATCAGTGGGAGGAATAGTGCCCCATCATTGGTATCAGTGGGAGAATAGTGCCCCATCATTGGTATCAATTCAAGGAATTGGCACCATCATTAGTGTCAGTGGGGGGAATAGTGCCCCATCATTGGTATCAGTGGGAGGAATAGTGCCCCATCATTGGTATCAGTGGGAGGAATAGTGCCCCATCATTGGTATCAGTGGGAGGAATTGTGCCCCATCATTGGTATCAGTGGGAGGAATGGCCCCATCAGGTGGGGAGGAATGTGCCCCATCATTGGTGTCAGTGGGAGGAATGGTGCCCTTTCATTGGTATTCAGTGGGAGGAATGGTGCCCCATCATTGGTGTCAGTGGGAGGAATGTGCCCCATCATTGGTGGCAGTGGGAGGAATTGTGCCCATCATTGGTATCAGTGGGAGGAATAGTGCCCCATCATTGGTATCAGTGGGAGGAATAGTGCCCCATTCATTGGTATCAGTGGGAGGAATAGTGCCCTTTCATTGGTATTAGTGGGAATAGGAATTATTAGTAGCCCCTTCATTGGTTAGTATTAATGGGAAGGAATGGTGCCCTTTCATTGGTGTCAGTGGGAGGAATGTGCCCTTTTCATTGGTGTCAGTGGGAGGAATTGTGCTACCCTTTCATTGTGTCGGTAAGTGGGAGGAATTATACCCTTTCAATGGTCTCAGTGTGAGGAATAGTGCCCCATTGTTAGTATTAATGGAAATTTTTGCCCTTTTGGTGTCAGTGGGAGGACTAGTGCCCTTTTCATTGTTGATGTCTGTGGGAGGAATAGTGCCCCTTCATTGGTAGTATTAAGAGGAATTGGAAGGAATTGTGCCCCATTGTTAGTTTCATTGGTGTCAGTGGGCAGAATTGTGCCCTTTCATTGGTGTCAGTGGGAGGAATTGTGTCCCTTTCATTGATGTCTGTGGGAGGAATTGTGCCCCTTTGTTAGTATTATTGGAAGGAATTCTGCCCCATTGGTGTCAGTGGGAGGAATTGTGCCCTTTCATGGGTGTCAGTGGGAGAAATTGTGCCTTTTTAATGGTGTTAGTGGGAGGACTAGTGCCCCATTATTGGTGTCTGTGGGAAAATAGTGCCCCATTGTTGGTTTCAGTGGTAGGAATAATGGCCCACTGTTGGTGTCAGTGGCTGGAATAGTGCCCCAGGGGCTGGCTAAAGGCAAGCAAAGGGCTGCATCAATCAGAATTGATCTGATCGGTCCTGGAAGAACTGAACAGAAAAGAGTGGGCATTTCAAATTCCTGAAACAGCTGCATGAAGGCTGACAGCTCGACAACCCCGGAGGTAGGTACAGCAAGGACCAGGGGAGTTGGGAGGGTGTACGGTGCTTACCTTTACATTGTTTCTGTAAGCATGAACTAACTCTATAAATATCCCATTACAAATATTGTGTTATATCGATTTCATACAAACAAAACAATAACCTGTGGATCCTGCCAGAAATCCAGAGCTGTCCTGTGCACTCTGCAGATGTATAACCTAATGGGCTTTCCTACGAACCACCTGCCCTCATTGCGGAGAGGAAAGAGGTATTCTGAAGTTCAGCAAAGGACCACTAGGCAGGGCTGACACCTTCCTTGTCATTACAGCCCAGCAAAGTCATTGTGCCATCAGCCCACCACAGGTCTTCTGAACTGAGATTGCTTTGAAAGCCCACATACGTCCTACTAGGCTATGAGGTAATAATCACTCCATAGAGAGAAACCTGTCCCCGTGTACCCCTGCACTGTCATAGTTGCCATGGCGACTTCCTCCTCTGACCCTTTCTTGCCATATGGCATCGTCCACTGCTGTGCCTCAGCCAATCACTAAACAGCGTGGGCGGGGCCAGAGTCACACGGCGCACTGTACACCATACGTAGCCAACAGGCGATCGCTCACCTGGATCTCATTGTAATGCTGCTGCAGCTCTTCCCATTCCCGCAGACAATCGCGGAACCCCAAAGAAGCCATCTCGCCCCGAGAGGGGACAACTCACTTGTGCGCGACCAAGCACCACTTCCTGATTACTCTTACCCCACCAATTGCGGCCAGCCGACACGCCTCCTAGCTGATAGCGAATCGAGGGAGGCTGGGTGAGGTCACGTGCTGTTAGGAAGTTCGCGGGTCTCCTCCTCCCTTCGCCTTCTCTCTAGTGGGTGGAGGCGGGGCTGTGTGTACACAGAGCTGTGTGTCATCACATCAGGAGGATCGGCAGCCTCCTGGACTGGGCAGGGTTGACATTTGCATTCATCCTCTGACATTTATGATCTGTGATTGCTCATGGTATTACTTTATAGAACACAGAATACAAAATAGCTGCTATAGGAGGATAAATGTGTACAAAACTGAACCATGGCATTGGCTGGTCTGTATAAAAACACTGATCATCTGCAATAAAATAACTGCTACTGAATTATAAACCTTTTTAGAGCTGCAACCTATGATTTGCTGGTTTATCTGAGAACACTGATCCTCTACAATAAAATAAAAAAAACTAAACCCACATCATAAAAGCCCATCAATAAATTCTGTATTACATGCTGTTCACTCAGTTACAGTGAGATTCAGGCCCAGACTGGGACAAAAAATAAACCCAGGTATTTTAGACTGAGCAGCCCAGAGACCCTTTCCTTGGAGCCTGTTGGTGGAACATCAGGGCCCGGTTGCAAGAGCGACCTTCTCTGACCCTGGTGGTTCCGCCACTAGTGTCAGTAAGTTTCTATCTTCAATGTATTTTTTCATAAGTTTATTTTTTTTGTTTACATTTTTTTAGGAGCCCTGTTTGGGGGCTTTGGTGAGAGGGAAAAAAGGGAGAGATAGAGAGAAAGAACAAGGAGAAAGAAAGAGAAGAGAGAGAGAGAGAAAAAAGAGAGAGAGAGAGAAAAAAGAGAGAGAAGAGAGAAAGAAAGAACGAGAGAAAGAAAGCAAGAGAAAAAGAAAGAGAATGAAAGACAGAAAGAGAGAGAACTAAAGAGAAAAATAGAGAATGAAAGTAAAGGTGGAGAGAGAAAGAAAGCAATAGAGAGAAAGAGAGAGAAAGAGTGCGAGAGAGAAAGTGAGAGAAAAAAAGGATAGAGAAAAATAGAGAGAGAAAAAGAGAGAGAAAGAAAGCAGAGGGAGGGAGAGAAAGAGAGTGAGAGAGAGAAAGGGAGAGAAAGAAAAAAAAGAGAGAGCAAGAGAAAAAAGAGAGAAAAAAAGCGAAATAAAGAATGAGAGAAAAAAAGAGAGAAAGAATGAGAGAAAAATAAAGACAGAAAAAGAGAGACAGAAAAAAAGAGAGAGAAAATGTGAGAAAAAGAGAAAGAATGAGAGAGAGAGAGAAAAAGAGAAATAGAGAAAAAGAAAGAGAGAGAAAGAGAGCAAGAGAGAGAAAGAAAATAGAGAAAGAAGAGAGAAAGAAAGAACGAGAGAAAGAAAGCAAGAGAAAAAGAAAGAGAATGAAAGAGGGAGAGAAATAAAGAAAGAGAAGGAAGGAAAGAAAGAAAGAAAGAAAGAAAGAAGGGGGAGAGAAGACACAAGACTTCCGGGAGTGTGGGTGGGGCAGACACAGGAGGAGAGGGCAGAACTAGCTTTCTCTTTCCTCTTCCGTCTGTGGGGGGGGGGGGGGGGGGGGGGACCGTCAGCATTGGCTCTGGGCTGTGGGAGAGATACTCTCTCAGCTCAGAGCCCCAGGGGACAGTCCATCCTGACATATCCCCCGTAGCAGCTGCAGGGAGGGGGGAACCCAGCAGAGCTGATAGGGATGGGGAGGGCCGGCCACCTGGGGAGTATACCCAGGAGCTGGGGCAGCAGGAGATAGATAGGAGGGGCAGCCAGGCAGCATATAGAGGAACCAATCTGTGCCGTCACTGAATGCCTGCAGGTGGAAGAGGAGGAGGAGCGGACATTCAGTGGCAGCAGGAGAGAAATGCATGGACCGATTCCTCTATGTGCCACCCAGCTGCTCCTCCTATCCAGGCGGCCCCGGCCCACCGGGCAAATGCCTGGTGTGCCCTATGGCCAGTCCAAGTCTGATAAGATTAATTTTCTGCATTCTGAAAAAAAAACCTGACTGATCTTGCTGTTCTCTATCGCCACTTTCTGTTCATGTCCCCAATCCAGCTAGGGATTTTGCAGCTGAAATGGCAACTCCTGCTCAGTTTTCAGTGAGTTTCTATGCTGAGCATTTCCTCCCTATCACATCAGAGCAGCCCATGTACAGTAACTATAGAGTCACACATGTGGGCGTATACTCAGTGGTACATGACAGCCCACTCCTCCTCCTCCATGCCCACTAACCAGCTAAACACAATGGGGGTAGGATATTACATGTAGATTGATGGAGGCTTCATCTCCGTTATTCACAGTCTGGAGGGGTGTGACACAGGCTCTGACTCGCAGAAATCTGCAAAATAATACAGATTTTATTTAAAATCCAGTATGCCAGTTTAAAATAGTTTGATATAATTTATTTTTACTCAGTATTCCAAAGGCTGTTTTTCTTTTTTTCTTGGATAATTTTGAACATGTGACCAGCAGCAGAGGACTAGAAACTTGTCCTGCTTATGTTTCCCTGCAGACAGGCTGGGAAAAAGCTGGGTCATGTGACAGCTGTACATCGATTTTATTTAATATTACAAATAATTACAGTGCCATCATGCACATACAGAAATAGAAGGGACAATATAAATTAAACAGTGCACATTTAAAATCATTTTAATAGGAAGTCAGTGCTAAAGTAACTAAGTCTGCTTGTAATAGGTCAGTATACAAAATCCACACATGTGATGTGAATAATGGTGCAGTGCCTAAATAACGGCAAATAATCTCTAACTAATGGTTACAAAAATATATATTTTTTTTTAATCCAATAAGTAAATAACATGAATCAAATGCAAGAAATAAATTAAATAAACTGAAGTGAATAAAGTCCACTAATATCAAACGTGTCCTCTGATGTCACAAAGTTTCCACCTTTCAAAGGTCCACACCACCAGCTGTGAACACCACCACTTCCTCACTCACCAGCTCCAAAGCTGCCAAGGATTAGCAGCAGACAATGCATTTGTTCTGAGAATCCCCAGCTCTTCACACCTGGTCATAAATCTCCACCAATACATTAAAGTTGCCTGACAATACCACCTCTCTCCACCAGAGACAGTCACATAGCCCATTCAATGCTGTATGGGAGAGAAGCGCTAACCACATGGATCCAGACCAGGGAAGAAAAAGGCTGCCAGTACTAGTGTCCCCTGAAGACGTGCAGGCACGAAACGTGTTGGGGCAGACCTATATGCTGACGTCACACTACCACTTCTGGTATCAGAAGTGGCAACCATTTTTCTCACTAGAGTGGCTGTATGCGGTGAGCACATAAAGCATTGAATAGGCTATGTGACTGTCTCTGGTGGTGAGAGGTTGTATAGCTAGGCAACTTCAACGTAGTGGTGGAGCTGTAAGATCGGGTGTGAAGAGCTGGGTACCATGACATGTACCATGACTCCGTACAATTGCATTGTCTACTGCTAATCCTTGGCAGTTTTGGAGCTGGTGAGTGCAGCAGTGGTAAGAACCTTCTAAGGGTGGAAGCTTTTTTAAAAGAATTGTTTGATATTAGTGGACTTTACTCGCTTTACTTTATTTCATTTACTTGTATTTGATTCATGTTATTCACTTATTGGAATTTTATTTAATTTTTTCTTCGTAACCATTGGTTAGAGATTATTTGCTGTTATTTAGGCACTGCACAATTATTTACAATAAAATAAATAATACAATAAAAAACTGGTATTGGATGTTAATTGTATATAGAACTGCAGCCTATGATTTGCTGATTTATATGGGAAAACTGATCCTCTTTACAATAAAATCCAGTTAAATCGTAATTAAAGGCAAAAAATAAAGAATTATGACTATTTACTGTAGAAGAGACATGCAGTGCATGTGCAGCTCTGTTTACAATTCTTGCACAGAGCACGCGAGTAACGTTATCCCACACAAGCCAATCAGGACTGGCACCTGGAAGAAACCCTTTGAGAAGTTGCTGGCTAGGGGACCTCATAGGCATCGCACCGTTGGAGCATAGGTGAGTATTTCTAGCCTCTAGTTCCACTTTAACCTTGCATCAATTTTTTTATTTGCATATACAGTACTGTGCAAACGTTTTATGCAGGTGTGAAGTAATGCTGTAAAGTACGAATGCTTTAAAAAAAATATATTTAATTGTTTATTTTTTCAATTTACAAAAGGCAAAGTGAGCAAACAGAAGAAAAATCTAAATTAAATCAATATTTGGTGTGACTAACCTTTATCTTCAAACCAGCGAGGTTTCAAAATGTGCGGTTCAAGCTCTTTTGAAGAAGCACAAAGCAACGGGCAATGACACATCATGCTTACTTCCCTTTGACATCATAGGATGTCGAGCAGTGCCATCAGCACAGAACTGGTGGAAACCAGTGGGACCCAGGTACACCCATCTGCTTTCTGGAGAAGTCTGGCCAGAAGTGGTCTTCAAGGAAGCGTTGCAGCCAAAAAGCCATACCTCCAACATAACAACAAGGCTAAGTGGATCAAGTATGCACAAAACCAGCAATGGCAGCAGGTGCTCTGAACTGATAAGTCAAAATGTGAAATATTAGGCTTTATCAGGAGGCAGTTTGTTCGCCGAAGGGCTGGATAGCAGTACAATAATGAGTGTCTGCAGGCAACAGTGAAGCATGGTGGAGGTTCCTTGCAAGTTTAGGGCTGCATTTCAGCAAATGGAGTTGGAGGTTTGGCCAGGATCAATGGTGTCCACAATGCTGAGAAATACAGGCAGATACTTATACTGTACATCATGCCATACCACAAGGGAGGTGTGTGATTGGCCTCAAATTTATTCAGCAGCAGGACAACAACCACAAACATGCGGCCAATATCATTAAGAACTATCTTCAGTGTAAAGAAGAACAAGGAGTCCTGGAAGTAATGGTTTGACCCCCACAGAACCCTGATTTTAACATTAACAAGTCTGGGATTACATGAAGAGACAAAAGGATCTGAGGTAGCCTACATCCACAGAAGATCTGTTCTCCAAGATGTTTGGAATTAACTACCTGCCAAGTTCCTTCAAAAACTGTGTGCAAGTGTACCTAGAAGATTTGATGCTGTTTTGAAGGAAAAGGGTGATCATACCAAATATTGATTTGATTTGGATTCATCTTCTGTTCATTTATTTTCTATTTTGCAATGAATAAAAATAAACTATTTACACTTCTATTTCTGAAAGCATTCTTAATTTACAGCATTTTTCATACCTGCCAAAAACCTTTGCGCAGCAGTGTATGTCAAAGCTGAAATATAAGGAGATATAAAGAGACAAAATTAATCTGACCTGGTATCAGCCTCTTGTATCCTGTACAACCAGGCTGGAGTGTGGGAGGAGAAGACAGTGGAGAGAGCCAATCAGTGCATGTACTGACAAAGAAGCATGCTGACAGAGAAGAAAACAGGGTAACAGAGAGTTCAACTCATCACTGTGCTGCTTTTAATTTCACGGTCACAGGTTGGGGTGGATGAAGGATAATGTGGGCTCAGAGGAAGTAGTTTACATACTAGTCATCAGACTGAGGATATCTAAAAAAGTATTGTGGGGGAAATATAGCGGTTCAAACTGAATATGCAGCGAAAGTTAGTTGTGTTATTTTTATATCTTTTAATAAGCTATTCTTTTTTAACTTTTTTTTTTTTTTTTGCTAAAGTTCCGCTTTGAGGAAAACTCAAGTTTATTATATTGAAAGTTCATTTTGCAGAGACTTTCATATTTACTTCTTTTCTGTTTCATATTCTGTAAATGTTTTTCTTTTACAGACCAGTAATTCCCTTATCTAGTGGCTATCTATATATCAGCCAAAGAGGTTAGTACTTTGTACAAAAACATATGCAGCACATCTTTACAATACAATACATGCACATTCACCCATGTTTTATTCCTTTAAAGATGCTGCATATACAGAAAAATACATGTTGATCATGGCAAAAATGTATTCAGACACTCATTTTTTGTTGTGGGATAAAATTGCAAGGAATGTTGTCAGACCTGCCCAGTTCTGTTTTACTGATCTACAGCAAAATACCCCACCCCTTATCTCCACAACATTGGATGAGGTGTTCTGTAGTCCATGGGAAGAAGTAGAGGGGTAATTAGATTCTGGATAACACAGACAAGAGTGAACATTTCACAATTTTCATTTCTGACAGGATTAACAGATATTTTTATGCACCTACTGAACAGATATAACCAAAAGCCTTTCAACAGTGTAATATACACAAAACAGGAAATATGATGGAGCTACTCCTATATGTGCTGCAAACCAACAAACCTAAATAAACTGAGGAGGTGTCTCCAAAATATAATCTGATAGCAACTGAAAAATTAATAATATTAAAACATATCACATGTGGAAATCTGGACATATGCCCAGGTTTCCACACTGGATAGGTTATATTATTATTAATAAACAATTTATTGTATTAGCCATAAGTAGGTGTCACATCTGCTTTTTTTTCAGTTGATATAATTTCAGTGGTAATCCAGCCTTTTTCAACCAGGGTGCCTGGGAACTCTGGGGTGCCTTCAGGTGTGCCTTGAAAAAATGCCTAAAAATTACCCAAAAATTGTATACAAGCCAGTGAGTTAATCAAGCCTGCCTTTTAGTGATACAAAGCCACAGGTTTTCATTGTGCACCATTATAACCTTCTAGCCACCAGCGTCTTAACAACCAATGATATAGTTGGTTGATAAGGAGGACGTTGGGTGTCTGCACACCATCTTTGTTTGCCCCTCCTCTGCCCCTCTCCATCAACACTGGGGTCACATTAGCTGAGTGAGGGAAAGAAACTGAGGGGGAGTAGAAACAATGCAATATTAGTCAGTACCAGTGTGCAAAGGTGCAGGATTAATTTACCTCTAATGTTGGGTGGCCCACATGTGTGGATGTTGCTGCATTGTGCAAACCTATTAGTTTCATTCTTTACATTTTTAGAATGGTCTGCTTCGAGATTGTGCAGAATTTTAAAGGGTAGCTTAACTGAAGCAAGGTTGAGAAACACTGGTCTAATCCAGTGTTTTTCAAACTTTTTTCAGTCAAGGCACCCTTTAAAAATATGGACACCCTCGAAACACCCTTTAAAATTATGGACAGTCTTGAGGCACCCCATTCTAAAATCTAGACTGTCCATAATTTTAAAAGAGCACCCCATTCTAAAATGTAAAAAACTATTCTAATAGTTTTATATAACACAGCAAATTCCACGCACGTAGGACTTCCAACATTAGAGGTGGTTTATTCTTCCAAAGCAAATACACCTTTGCACACAGGTACTGACTAGTACTCCAATGTTTCTCTTCTCACTCAGTTTTTCTCCATCACTGAGATGCTGTGTAGGCAACTAACATCCTCCTTATCAATGGAAGATATCATTGGTTGTCAGGATGCCAGTGGCTAGAAGGCCATAATGGCGCACAATGAAAACCTGTGGCTTTGTGTAACTAAACGGCGGGCTTGTTTTACCTGCTGGCTTGTATACAAGTTTTGGGCAATTTTTAGACATTTTACCAAGGCACCCCTTAAGAAACCTGGGGGCAGTACAGCGGCTAAATGGTTAGCACTTCCACCTGGCAGTACTAGGGTCGTTGGTTCGAATCCCAGCCAGGGCAACTCCTGCCTGGAGTTTGCATGTTCTCCCTGTGCCTGTGTGGGTTTCCCCCGGGTACTCCGGTTTCCTCCCACACTCCAAGGACATGCTGGTAGGTTAATTGGATCCTGTCTAAATTGGCCCTTGTATATCAATGTAAGTTAGGGACCTTAGATTGTACGCCCCTTGAGGGTTAGGGACTGATGTGAATGTACAATATATATGTAAAGCGCTGTGTAAATTGACAGCGCTATATAAGTACCTGAAATAAATAAATAAATAAGGCACCCCAGGGTGCCTGGGCACCCTGATTGAGAAAGGCTGGTCTAATCTAACAGACCAAAAAGGGAGCAAATAAGAGACATTGGGGGGAATTTACTAAAAGCGGTGCACTCAGAATCCGATGCAGCTGTGCATGGTAGCCAATCAGCTTCTAACTTCACCTTGTTCAATTAAGCTTTGGCAATACAACCTGGAAGGTGATTCTATGCAGAGCGACACCAGATTTTTCACTCTCCAGTTTTAGTAAATAACCCCCATTATTTTAGGGGTTTACATAGCCTTTAATAATGTCAATCATCTACCTTAACAATTTTTAAATGCACTCTTATAAAAGTCTGTTAAAGTGGAACTAGTGTTCCGCTGTTACATACTGTGAGCAGGTAGTTTTTTATTGCAATACACTACATCTACAGTACCTGCCTGCTCACAGTGATCCCAGTGTAAACTGAGATGCGCATCAGCAGCTCAGCTCACAGCGGCTGGCCCGATCCCTGTGTGCCAGAATGGCTAGCTCCTGTGCATGCGTTAGTGAGGGACCATTGAAATGGTCAGTATTTACCCCTTTAGTTCTTTTTGAATACATGTGTTTTTTAAATGTGGATGTCACTGACATTAAAGTGTTACTAAACCCAGGACCCTGCATTCACCACATCTGGTCTCCCACAGTACACAGAACACGGAAATGCAATTATTTTAGTAAATATAAACTGCTAAATACCTTTTCTCATCAGCAGTTAGAGCAGTCTTGTGACTTATATCAGTGTTCAGCAGAGCACTGGTTAAAGCTTCTAGGAGTTTTCATTTTGCTCTAGGATGATGCAGAATCCCTGGCCTCTGTCTGGACAGTGCTGATTGGCCCTGTGCTGATCACATGCACTCTCCCAAAAAAGCAAAAAACTATCTAGCAATACACACCAAACTAAGCATGTGCAGTTTACCCTAAGGCTCTGTTCTATCAGATTAGTCGGGGACAGTGAAAGAAGGGGAGGAACAGAGAAGACAAGATCAAACATGCTGATCACATGCATTCTCCCAAAATTAAAAAAAAAACTCTATCACAATACACATCAAACTGAGCATGTGCAGAATAGCTCCACATGATATGTCTTATCAGGAAATAAGAGGGGGACACTGGAAGAAGGGGAGGATCAGAGAAGTCAGGATCACACAGCATTTTTACACAATGCAAAGGATTAACCCCTTAGGTTCCACAGTGAGTATAACTAGAATGCTTTACTGCATATACAGACTGATTTTACTGTTGTGGGTTTACTAACACTCTAACTCCTGTCTGGTGGTTGAAATCTCATGGTGAATAATATACTACAGTGACTAAATGTTTAGAGTTGTTGATGATTATAAATAACACTTTGGCCGTTAAAACTTTGGATCTGCTATATCTGTAAACTGATGTCCTAGAATTGTCTTTTCCCATTCTGAGAGCTGCTGCACAAATCCTCTGTTTGGTCTCATGTTGTTTTTACATTTATGAACATGGTTCCAAGCTTCCTGCAAAGAGAAACAAATGAAATTAGTTCATTGGGGTAGATCAACTAATGATAATGCAGTTTGCACTTGGTAAGAATATTAAATACAATGTGCATGTCAGAATATATAATATTTATGCATTTAAAATAAGAAAAGGTTCCTGGAATGTCATTCAACAGTATGATAAAGCAACATAAGTCCATAGCTTTGGGTAATGTTAGTGCCATGCCCCAGATTTTGTTTGGACTCAGAAAGCTGGAATGACAGTATTTAAGGATCACTGCAGCAGCACTGACAGCCATGGCTGAACCTCTCTTTATGAAAGTCACTGGCTGGCACACAGCTTTTTAACATGCACCTCTGTCATGATCTGTCCCAAAACAAAAGCAAGCAACAGGCATACTGCACAATGTCCATGGGCACGGGCACCTACATAAATGGGCAGATTTACTAAAGGAGTTGAAAATCTTCATGCAAAGAAAACACTTAAATCATCAAATCTTTGAAAAGCAAATTTCTGTTTAAAGTGAACAGATGTTTTCTTTTTACACAACTGGATAATTCGAAGTGAATATTCACAACATTTTGTGAGTGAAGATTCTCAACTCCTTAAGTAAATCTGCCTCAAAGTCTTTATTTTCCAGCAAAATATACAGTTTCCACTTGGTCTGTCCCTCTGCTATTCTTTAAAGCTTTTAACAACATTCCAGTGGCACATTGGCAAATGCTATGTACTTATTTTAAATCAAAGACAATAGCCTGTGATATTAAAATGAACTCTATTGGAAAATCTAAAGTTTGCCAAATTTGTTGGGTTCAACAGCGGTCAGATGAATTTTGATCTATCTATGACCATTCCCGCTAGAGAGAAGTCAATCTAATGATCAGTTTCTCTTAAATGGGAATGTTGGAAAGGCAGTCAATCAGCTGCAGCACTGATCAGTGTATTCTGACAGAGTCCCTGCTGTTAGAATACAATAGTGCAGAGGATTCCTCCATTCACCTCAAATGTGGATGGAGAAATAAGCTCTTTTTTTTTTGGCTGCCTGATAAAAAAAAAAAGATCCATCTAAGGCCATGCTTTAAACAAAGTCAGCCAGTAGGTGTCAGTATCTTACAGAGGTGATTGTAGCCATATTAGTGCACTTGCAGCAGAAACAATTGAGTACTGTCTGTGATACTTTTTTTTAATTTGTACTAACATACAATTTTCAGGACAAGCGTTCGGGGTATGTCCCCTTCTTCAAGGTCTAAGCAGTACTCCTGATTGGACCTTGAAGAAGGAGACATACCCAAAAGCTTGTCCTGAAAATTGTATGTTAGTGCAAATAAAAAAGTATCACAGACAGTACTCAATTGTTTCTGTATCTTACAGAAATGCTGGCTGTTTAGACATATTTGTCCATTTTGTATATAGCCATTTTCTGCTTTTTGGAACTTCTTTTTACACAAAAAAACATACTTTTATGCCTTTTTAAATTCTCACTAAGACTTCATGTACACGGGACACTTCTGAACGATGGAAACTGACTGCTGGAAAACGTAGCTTAAAAAATGTCTGCTTAGCCGCGTTTGCATACCGCGTTTATGAGCGTTTGCGTTTAGAAGAGTTTTTTAAAGATAACCTCAGGAGACCTTCCAAATGCCCAGCATGCACTGAAAAATAGTAAAAAATTAACTATTTCCGACATTTTGAGAGAAATAGAGATAGCAGAAACAGGGAGAGCAGTATTTGTTGGGATTAGCTGTCTTTTTTTTGTGGTGTTTGGATGTGTTCCAGCTCATTTCTGTGCAGAAATGATTGCAGCAGTGTCTAACATATTTTCTTTCATGCAAAACCTCAAAGTATGGTGTACCAGGTCCATTTGAGTACCAGGAAAATGCTTTGCATGCATTTTTCATAATGAAAAAAGGCTCTGGACAGCATCTGGAAATGGAAGAGTTAAAAAAATGTTCCAAACGCAAACACTTCTAAATGCGGTTAGCCGCGTTTACAAGCGGTTGGAGTTTGAAACGCTGATAAAATCTACTCCTGAACGCAAGTTTGGTGCGTTCAAAAAAAACGACTGTAAACTCAACTGCCTGTAAACGACTGTAAACGACATAGTGTACATGGACACATAGAAAAACATTAGGGAGAGTTCAGGGGCTGCTGAAAAAAATGCTGAACAGCTCCTAAACGTGAGTTTATCAGCTGTAGTGTACATGGTGCAGAAGCAAGTAGTCATCAAAATGCTATCATTTGTGACCCAACATCCTCATGACCTCCTCTACTAACATTGTCACTGTTATGGATTGGAGAGCCTCAAATTTGTTTTACTGCTACAGACTTTAATTTCAGAGAGGAAATTATAGAAAGGGAATGAAGGAGTATCTATAGATAGATATGATAGACAGATAGATAGATAGATAGATAATGTCAAAACAGTGCACAGCCCTGTATTGCTGGCCAAATACACTCACAGCAGTTTGCAATGTTCTAGACCAGTGGTCGGCAAGCCATGGCTCGTGAGCCACATGCGGCTCTTTACACACATTAATGCGGCTCTTCTGTGTGCCGGGCGCCCGCTCCCCTCCCTCCTCTCGGGCGGCCGCCCCAAAAGTCAGGACTCTGCAGCTAGCCCAGCAATGGGCAAACTACGGCCCGCATACGGCCCGGCGGACCTTTTAATCCGGCCCGCGGAGCGTGGCAAACATTGGCTGTCAGAATGTAGGCGGGGCAGCGTGACGAACTCCTCTCCTCTCACAGTCCGCCCTGAAGACCGGAACGGCGCGGGAACACGGCGAGAGGAACGCGCGGAGCAAAGGTAAGTGAATTGACACAATATGGGGAATGGATTACTATAGGGGGGATGAATTACTATAGGGGGGATGAATTACTATATGGGGGATGAATTACTATATGGGGGATGACTACTATGGGGGATGAATTACTATATGGGGGATGAATTACTATGGGGGATGAATTACTATATGAGGGATTAATTACTATATAAGGGATGAATTACTATGGGGGATGAATTACTATATGGGGGATGAATTACTATATGGGGGATGAATTACTATGGGGAATGAATTACTATATGGGGGATGAATTACTATGGGAGATGAATTACTATATGGGGGATGAATTACTATGGGGGATGAATTACTATGGGGGATGAATTACTATATGGGGGATGAATTACTATATGGGGGATGAATTGCTATGGGGGATGAATTACTATATGGGGGATGAATTACTATGGGGGATGAATTACTATATGGGGGATGAATTACTATGGGGGATGAATTACTATATGGGGGATGAATTACTATGGGGGATGAATTACTATATGGGGGATGAATTACTATGGGGGATGAATTACTATATGGGGGATGAATTACTATATGGGGGATGAATTACTATATGGGGGATGTATTTTCAGTTTTAAAAATGTGGCTCTCAAAATAAATTTCAATCGTGGTTTTGGCGAGATTTGGCTCAGTTGAAAAAAAAGGTTGCCCACCACTGTTCTAGACCACATGAATCTGCCACCCATAGTTTCATCTGTATCCAAGTTTTGATTATCCAAATGTTTACAACTGATTAAAGTAATATTAAACCCTCATTGCCTTACTTACTATATGCAGCTTATTTTTCTTTTAATCACTAGTTTTCTGTTTCATGGTGGCACCTTTCTCTTGCAGCATCCTATGGAGCCACCCCAGTGTGCAGGGAATAAAACTATGGATGCACCAATACTTGTTTCTACCAGTGAGTATGAGTACCGATACAATAATTGTGCTCAAGTACTCGCTGATACTAATTACCAATACAATTGCAGCATGATTTGAGCCCATACAAAATGAATGGGCTCAAATCACATTGCTAAGAATCACATGTGGTTTGAACACCGCTCCTGTGTGTACCCAGGCTGAAGTCACTATGATAAGCCTGGGTTCACACAGCAGCGGTGGGGAAATCGCATGTGATTCGGACATTCCTTTCACATCCCATGCGATTCTTTGCAGTGCAATTTGAGCCCATTCATTTTGTATGGGCTCAAGTCGCACTGCAAAGGTATCAGAAATTGGTATCAGGGAGTATTTGAGCACATGTATTCTCATACTCGTACTCATTTTAGGTATCGGAGCATTTGCACGAGTACAAGTACTCATACAAATGCTTATTATCAGCAACGATATGATACCGGTATGGGTGCAACCCTAACTAAGGGCTAGTTCGCACTACAAAAATGCACTCTGGATGCATTCTGGATACATTTTTGCCTACAGTTCACACCACACGCAGTTCCGGTGCGTTTTTGATCCAGTTTGTCATGTTCCAGTATGGTTCTGTGCAGAAAAAATGCAGCATGTTCTACTTTTTTTTCTGCACCAGAAACTGACCGGAACTGATTGCACTAGTGTGAACCAGGGCCATTGGAATACATGGAAAACACTGTGCATGCATTTTTGATGCAGAAAAAAAAGCGCACTGAACTGCATCTAGTGTGAACTAGCCCTTAAACTGTCTCCTTAAGCTGTGTGCATTAATAGAAACACAGCCCCTGTAGCCTAGGTTGCTAAGGCACCCCCCTGTTCTTCCCTCCCCCTCTATTCTCCAAGCTAGCACACCAACTCTAGATTGCACTGACCACTGTGAACTATTTTCTGTGAAGACCAGAAGTTCAGGAAAGCAGCACTGAGAGAGTAGAAGCCAACAGCACTGAAATTGTAAACTGCAGGTGCTGGGGTAAGACTTTTACAAAATAGTTTACTGGAAAATGTTTATTTATTTTGCTCAATGTGTTAAACTAAAAAAACCCTGAGGGTTTAATACTATTATAACTGAAACCATGAAAGTGCTGGTAGAAAGTACTATTGGTCATTTGGTCACTCAAAACTGGGAAGGAACTGAAACCAGCAAGAGATTACTGTGGCTGAAGACTGAGAGAAAGAGCCAAGATTGCCTGTTGAAGGGGAGATTGTGGGTAGAGAAATTTAGTACCAGCTTTGCAACGTATCTCACAAATCCCTGTGATCCCTGTTGCCATAGGCACTTGTGCAGCCAGACAAGCTTTTGCCCAGAGTTCAGAGATCCTGTCAAAAAGTGCAAGTTTTACCTACAAGAAATCATGATGACAGTAAGCAGAACACAGAGTTACACAAAGATCCTACATACCCTGACTGTCTTGAGGACCAATTCAACAATCATTTCCATATTACCTGCAGTGTCCATTTTCTGGCATGTATAAGATATGCTATGATCACAGTACTGCATCGACTGATCCCCAGTGTAGAGGAAACAAGAACAGCACAGTTTGGAGCCATGTAAGAATCTAGAAAAAAGAAAATGGGTAGCCTTCAGTCAATGAAACCATAATATTGCAACAATTTACATTATTTGTTATTTATAAATGTAACATCATCATTATACGTAAGGTCACATTCACACTGGGCATTTAGCCCGAGTGCATAAGGTTCTGGCATTTAGGTGTTGGTGGAAGGCACAGGCATTCTGCATTTTGCAGGGCAGTCGTCCCTGGGCACATATTGTAATACACGTATGTACTGCTAGGTGCACTATCCTGCCCCAATCAGCCGCAGCAGCTGTCAGCCTTTCATAGAGTTTGATGGACTGCCGACTGTGGGGCTGGACACTGTACCCATGCCCTCTGCCCACAGATAAATGTCAGAGCCTTATGCACTACAGCTAAATGCCCAGAGTATCTGGGGCCTAAACAAACTATATTTAAGACAGAACAGGGCCACAAAAAATACTAGTGGCCAGGAGGACCATGGCCACAAGAACCTGGTAATAGCTTCCCAAAGACGTCCCTTCCAGACAAAACACATAGAGGCTGGGTTACTGGACGCACACATCACTTCTGGTGGCGTCACATCCTGTTGGTGGAGTACACATCGGTTCCAGGTGCATGGTGCGACGTCATTGTCATTTGCCAAACTCTGGATAAACTGAGCGCTGTGATGTAAGTGGCATACTTATTTTGTTATCTTGCTTTAAAGGATAAGTACAGCTACAGCTCCTTTGGCTGTACTTCTGCTGTGGATCACAGGATTGCAGTTCGTTCTGCAACCTGTGACCCATTTTCAGCTGACGGCAGGCTAAAGCCCACTGTTGGCAGATGTCACAGAGCTGGTCCAGGCTGGGGAAAGATCTCAACATATGGTGGAGTGGCACCTGGCTCAGCCTCTCAGCAAGCAACTGGGAGCCTGAGCCAGCCGCTCCCTCCCCTCAACAGCCCAGTGGGGGCAGAGCAGACAGTCATCACTCTCTGCTCAGAGCAGCTGGGAGAGCTGAGCAATCAGCGTTGTTTGATTGCTCAGTTCTCACCCATAGAGCCAGTGGGAGACAAATGCAGCATCAGACTGATGCTACATCCACCTAGGTAAGTATGATTTAAAAAACATAAAAAAAAACAATACTTCTCTTTGAAGAAACCTGTTGGGCAATAATTTCTGCCTTACCGTCTTTCTACTCTCTTTCTGGAGTTGCATAACTAGGGCCCATTCAAGAACTGAGAGCCCCTTAGTGACTGAAGGGGAGACGTGATGGAGCCTTTATAGTGTACAGAGCACATCTGACCCATTCATTTACAAAAGAGTCAAATTGTTTTGGTGAGTGCATAACTATATGTGGCATTGTGGAGAACAGCACTGGTTATTAAAGGTGGAGAGAAATGGCACCTGTATTCACCAGTTGGGAGCATTGACACTTTTGTCTATGGAAAAAATAAAATTTGTACAGCGAGTGCTCAACGAAAGATGTAAAAATGACAGTAATTATATAACCAGCTGCAAATGCACCGACATAGGAACCCTAAAACCTAGTAAAAATTCATCAATATAAAAGTGCAGAGCTAAAACATGCGAGATAACTTAATAGTTCAATAAATTAATAAATGATAAAGAACAGTATAATAAATTAAATACAAATTTCCAGGTGGGTATGGCGCTAATCAGGCGCAAAAATGAAAAGTGATATTGCACAGTCTAGTGAATAAGAAGTGTTCAGAAGTGGTGCAGACTTGACTTGGTCAGGTCAGCAATAAAGTGCTTAACTTTCAAACTTCATAAGTGCTTCTTATAAAGAAATCCTCGTGATAAGAATCCGTGCAGCAATTTATAAAATGCGCACTCACCAGATGCACATAGGTTATGCGTATTAAGCCAATATGACTCTGTATGGGCCCCGTTAAATGGAACAGGCAGCCAGCCTGGAGCAAGGATCCCTCATCTGGACACCAGCTTCATATGCAGCCACACTTCCTCTGGGGGTCTCTGTGAGCTTAGCTCAGAGCCTTGCAGCTCTCACCGACTTGTTTGTTCCCCAGGCTCAGACTTAGCTGCTGGGGTTGTTATTTAACATTTCGCCCATAGGGTACGTAACTACTTTGTCAATACCAAAGTCATGGCACTTCCTATTTTAAGATAACAACACTGATACGATGCTGTCACAAAGGATCGGATTGTAGTTATTGTGGATAAAAATGCATTGATTTGTTCTGTACAAATACAACCCCCTTGTAGAAAATAGGCTGATTTGACTTCTCTTTGAATAAAAGCATGGAGTGGCTATTGGAAATGATCAAGCTCACATTACTTCACAGAAAGACCAAAGGTTAGAAATGAATGTAGCAATTCCTTATCATATAAAGCAACATTATCTTTGTGAACATTTTATGACCTAATATATTTCCACTTTGAGAGGCAAAGTTTGTTTGACTAAACATTTTCTTTAAAAATGGTAGCTGATTACTTCTTCAAGTAGAAATCCAGCAAAATCTCCTTTAGCTTTGGGTTTTGCTGTCTGTATTTCAGTTAAAGAAACAGTTCTTTCCTGATATGTCACAGAGAGAGGAGCTGAAGAGAACCTGTTCAGCAGGGACACAGACTGCAATACACAATTCTTTTCGAAGTTTAGGGTAGGGTTTTTCGCTGTCTTTGTCCTCAGTAAAGACATTTCCCTATTTCTTGTTGTGCTACAAAGGCAGTAAGTAAGGAGAGACCTCCCCAACAGGAACAGAGACAGTTTTCCATTGCAGTGGGTTGAATGGCACCCCAAAGCACCTTGCTGCCAGATGTGCACTGCAGCAAGCAGTAACACACTAACATATATTGGGGTGCACTGTCAAAAATGTTACATGCACCTTTTTTGGTGCCTCTGAATGGGCAGTCTTACTGCAACGCATGGTAAAGTATGGCATAACGTGCGCTAACATGCTTGTGCTAATGCAACACATACACTATATTGGCAAAAGTATTGGGACGCCCTTCCAAATCATTGGATTCAGGTGTTCCAATCACCTCCATGGCCACATGTGTATAAAATCAAGCACTTAGGCATGCAGCTTCTAAAAACATTTGTGAAAGAATGGGTCGCTATCAGGAGCTAAGAGAATTCAAGCGTGGTACCGTGATAGGTTGCTAAGTCCATCCGTGAAATTTCCTTGCTACTAAATATTCCACAGTCAACTGTTAGTGGTATTATAACAAAGTGGAAGCAAATGGGAACAATAGCAACTCAGCCACGAAAAATGACAGAGTGGAGTCAGCGCATGCTGAAGCGCACAGTATGCATAAGTCGCCAACTCTGTACAGTGTCAATAGCTAAAGACCTCCAAACTTTGGGCGGCTTTCAGATTAGCACAACAACAGTGTGTAGAGAGCTTCATGGAATGGGTTTCCATGGTGGAGCAGCTGCATCCAAGCCTTACATCATCAAATGCAATGCAAAGCGTCAGATACAGTGCTGTAGAGCACGCTGCCACTGGACTCTAGAGCAGTGGAGACATGTTCTCTGGATTGATGAATCACGCTTCTTTGTCTGGCAATCCGATGGACGCGTCTGGGTTTGGCAGTTGCCAGGAGAACAATACTTGCCTGACTGCATTGTGCCAAGTGTAAAGTTTGGTGGAAGGGGGATTATGGTATGGGGTTGTTTTTCAGGGGTTGGGCTTGGCCCCTAAGTTCCAGTGAAGGGAACTCTTAAGGCATCAGCATACCAAGACATTTTGGACAATTTCATGCTCCCAACTTTGTGGGAACAGTTTGGGGATGGACTCTTCTTGTTCCAACATGACTGTGCACCAGTGCACAAAGCAAGGTCCATAAAGACAAAGATGAGCAAGTTTGGGGTGGAGGAACTTGAATGGCCTGCACCTTTGTGATAAATTAAGAGCAGAGACTGCGAGCCAGGCCTTCTCGTCTGACATCAGTGCCTGACCTCACAAATGCACTTCTGGAAGAATGGTCAAACATTCCCATAGACACACTCCTAAACTTTGTTGACAGCCTTCCCCGAAGAGTTGAAGCTGTTATAGCTGCAAAGAGTGGACCTACTCAATATTGAACCCTACGGGTGAAGGCTGGGATGCCATTAAAGTTCATGTGTGTTATGGCAGGTGCCCCAATACGTTTGGCAATATAATGTATGTGTGAATGGGCCCTTTAGGATGTCATTCTTTGTTTGATAAATCAGACAGAAGGGGGTGCCAATCTCAGTGTAGAGAGTTAACAATTTACAGGTAACAAACGGTGTAAAAACTACTCACAAACGTAAGAAGTAATGAGGCATGGTAAAAGAATTCCTTTAGTAAGCCATCAGTCTGCCAGCGATGTGTAAGTTGGTCCTGGTCATACAGGAAGAGATGCAGCCGTCAGCTGTCAGCAGTGCAGAAAGTTTTGAAAATGGCGTTGAAACCAGCGTGGACCACGAGGAAGTCAGGACCCCGGCGGGCGACCAATGGCAATGCAGGAACAAGATCAGGTGATGCTTTTTGAAGAGCTTGCTTCTTCTTCTTCTTCATTGTATTTTTCTATATACTTATATATCCTCTGCTATATCCGCATTTTGTCTCTAACCTTATTTCGATTTTTACAAGTGTGGTCCCCTCCCAGCGCCGATTTGTTCTTTCTGTACATAGTTTGTTTGACAATTCCTAGTAATTTAGTACCTACCTAACCATACTTATGCAGGACAATTAGGACTTACTTCTGGCATCACATATAGCCCAGTCTGTAAAAGACTTTTAAAAAGACTTTTACACAGGCACAGCTACAGGAGGGGACTCTTATTATAGAGCTGTGTACAGCCAGTGTTGTGCTCGCCCTCTACCCAACAGGAAGGCACACAGGATTTGAACTGCAAGGATTGTGGGAGATGTAGTTCTGACAGACTGAGCTGGCTTGGTAACTTTGTAGGAGTAAACTGCAAATCACACAAGGCAGGTAAAGAGGAGAGGTGGTTTCCTGCTGTTTTTATAGACTGAGAAGAGGAAGTGTGGATTCTGTTCTGAAAGACTGAGTGCACATCAGGCTACTAACAGACTGCTTACCCCTGCACCTAAGAGGGAGAGGCGCAAAGTGGCAGACATAGAATATTGGAGAGTACCATATATGCTGTCAGAGCTTGCTGCCTAATCAACAGGGCAGGTCACTGTAGACACAGACCAGCTGTGTCCATTGACAGTATTGTCTGCAAGTATCACAGAGCCAGTGACTTTATTAGTACTTAAAAATAGCAGAGTCATTGTCATCCTCAGTGCTTAAAGTTACATTATCCTGAGTGCTCCAAAATAAAAGTTGGGCCCCAACCAGCAGGCTAGATGATGAAAGTATAGTAGAGACTGCTGAATTGTTAGAGTGGCGTAATTCTCCTTAGGATTTCCCCAGTATAGGGTTTAGGAGAAGATGCTCTCCACACCAATTGCTTGTTCTTACAGTATATTTCTTTCTACTGATCACCTAATTGCAAAATATTCCTTGTTACAGTTTGCTGTAGTATTGCTATTGTTTTTTATCTCTTTTGCTACCAGCATACTGCATATACGTTGTACATCTGCAATAGATATTCCCCACCCAGCCAGGTGTGTCAGAGTGTGTGGAATTTTTTTTTAGAGTTTTGGGCACATGAACAGAGACCCAATACATCCAGTGGCTCCTTTCAGGGTACATGCTACACATACAAATACAGATAATAGTTTTTTGTACAGAAAAGTATAGCCATATTTGTTAGAAATTATATTTTTCTAATAATCTATATAACATAAATAAATATATAACATAAAAAATAATTTGGCAAATGGAAGAAGGGTTCTAATTATATAGACTAGTTTTATTTATAAAGATCTTTCTGACTGAAGCTGTGCTTAGTAGCTAACACAGCGAGCACATGATCAAAAGCCATACGGATTTCCTCCTAGCCAATACTTCAATGATCAAAAGTTTTAAGTGTATACTTAAAAGATATTATATTTATGATCTATGAGAGGTATTAGCATCTTTTGTAGTTTGAGATCAAGGAAATAAACTCGCAGTATTTTTAGATTTTTATGCAAGCTGCTGTTTTGCAAGTGCAAGTTCCAGAGCTGTCAACTTTGTCCTTGTTTCACTGATGGGTACGTGACTCACTAAGGCTGTATTCACACCTGAGCATCGCGTTTTATTGGGCGTTTTGTCGTGCATTTGTATGCATGTTTTTTACAGCTTTTTTAAAGCGTTTTTGAGCTTTGGCATTTTTTTTAATATCCAATAAAGAAAAATATAATCTGTTTCATCATTTGTTGCTATTTGTTGTTCTATGAGAGGTATTAGCATTGTTTGTAGTTTGAGATCAAGCAAAAAAACTTGCTTGCAGTATTTTTTCGATTTTTATGCAAGCCGCTTGTTAAAGGTACAAGTTCCAGAGCTGTCAACTTCATCCTTGTTTCACTGATGGGTCAGTAACTCACTAAGGCTGCATTCACACCTGAGCATCGCGTTTTATCAGGTGTTTTATTGTGAATTTGTATGCGCGTTTTTGTACAGCGTTTTTAAAGCGTTTTTTTAATAGCCAATAAAGAAAAATGTCATCTGTTTCATCATTTGTTGCTAGATTTTTCAACTTTTCCATTAGCTTTTATTTTATATTATTATTCATTTACTATTATTATTTTTTTTGTTAGGGTAAAGGGGTTAGAGTTAGGTTAGGTGTTAAGGTTAAGATTAGGAGTCGAGGTTAGGGGTTAATATTTTATTTATTGTCTTCTTATTTATTTATTGTTAGAGTTAGGGTGTTATTATTATTATTATTATTATTAATAATAAAAATATTATTATTAATTAATAATAATAATAATAATAATAATAATGTATTTATTTTTATTGGTGTTAATTTATGTATTATTGTATTATTATTATTATTATTATTATTATTATTATTATAATAATAATAATAATAATAATAATAATAATAATAATAATTTACTTTTATTTATTTTTTTATTTTTTAGGGTTAAGGGGTTAAGGTTAAGGGTTAATTATTATTCATTTATGTATTTATTATTACATATTACTTATTTATTTTATTTAACATTTGTTTATGATTATATTTATATACTTGTGCATTTATTTTATTTCACTTTTATTTATTCATTTAGTATTATTATTAATAATAATAATAATTAATGTATTTATTTATTTTAATTTTGTTTTCATTTGCGCAGAAAAACTTGCAAAAATCATGCATTTCCATTAATTTCTATTGAATCAAAAACACACAAATCTGCTCAATTGAATGACTTAAAAAGCTTCAGAACCTGTTTGAGCTTCAGGCAATTGGCTTCAGGGGACTTGGAGTGGAGATGTGAACCATCTCCATTAGGAATGATTGATTTTCTCTCCTAATAAGGCCTAAGAGTGTATGTATATTGGAATCCTTACTTCCCTGGCTGAAAAGATGGCAGTTAGAAATTGCGGCATCCATACTTCTGTTCTAAAAGATTTTCTTGTGTGTAGATGACCTATTTTAGTTTGAAGCTTGTGGGACATCAATCAAAAATTAGTAACACTTACCTATAAACTGACAAGCAGTTGGGAAGAATTGTAGAAGATCAGAATCCAATGAATCTGGCACTGCAGTGTGCAATATGGGCACAGACCTGATGATAAAATATTTATTAAAGTAAACTTGCTAAAGCATTTTGGGATTTTGTAATGACTTTGCTTTTTTTTTCATTGCAATCCCCCTAGTATTGTCCTTTGTAGCATGTTGTTAAAGTGCATGTAAACACATTATCTTGTTTGCTCCCTTTTGGTCTGTTTAATATACTGTACCTTCCTCTTCTAGTGTGACAACGCTTTTTCTACATAGATACAGTGCAGTGAGTGAACTTTGTCGCCCTGGGCCAGGCACTATGTTACTGGCAGGATGATTGGGTATAAATAAAAGCAAAAAAGCCTGAAAAAGAAAACCAATGCAGCCACCACATCTAAGGAATGGCAATCTGCAATATATTACATTTTACTACAAAAAACGAGCAGCTGAGCTGCCCACCCAAGCTGTAAAATAACATCCAAGATTATTCACTTAGGGAACAGACTTTTGACAAGGAGGCCAGGAACGGCCAAAGGTCTGGATGGTCTGTTGTACAAGGTAAGGTAGTAAGGGACTAGGAAAGAACTTATCTTAACTAAATTCACAGAGTTCACAGAAAAAAGAGAGATCCTCAGAGTAGCAACGCAATGCACAAAGTTTTATTAACCTCCCTAGCGGTCTGATTATGTCAATATTTCTGTACATTTTTTTGCATGGAAATATGTAGTTTTTTATTGTAGGCCTGTAATTTTTAGGAATAACTCACTGAAATCTGTCCGAACAAGAGTCTAGTAAACATCACGCATATGTTAAAATTTGAAACACAAAATCATAAATTATAATTGAATAAATAATCATACAAAATAATAATATAATAATAATAATAAAAATTTTTATTAAATAATATAATCAAACCAAAAACACTGAAATTTGAAATATAGCGCCAAGTTCGCACATCACTGAGCAAAGTCGTAAAATCGTTTTCAGTGTCTGATGACGAATTTCCCCCACGAATCATTATCACTCAATTCTGCAAGTAGTTCTAAATTTACTATCGTTGTTCTCTAGCTGGTCTAAAACCGCTTTTGACCTAAAGGGACACTTTTTGGATCCATGGACATTTCTCAGTTTCCAGGCAGAAAGAACAGTAAAAATGCAGGCAGGGCACAGGACAAAGCACTAGGGACAAAATGTATGTGAAATGGTTTGATACAGTAATGTTTTACTATGTGATTTTAGTGTATTTAGTGAATGTCACTTTTTGTCATTTTTTAATTTTCCGCCGTTCCATCCCCCGTACGTCCCGACATCGCAGGGGACGGAATCCAGAAGACAGATGCCGGCATCCGCCGGAGGACATTTCCGGGGACACTGCAGGGAGGGGACATCGCGGGAGCGCAGGACAAGGTAAGTGAAGAACAGATCCTGGAGCAACGCTGCAGTGTATTCCCGAGTGTAACTCAGGGTTACCGCTTGTGGTGCTGAAACTTTACCCAGAACTACACTCGGGAATGCCGCCAGGAAGGTTAAAGTATGAAGCACAAATACATTGGGTAACAGCAGCTAATAGGTTGATGTGATTCACACCAACAAGCAACTTAAACATATTACCTATTTGTGCTTTAGTGGCCGGTCACATCGGTGCGATTTGCGAATTGAAATCGCATCTAATGAATGTGAATGTCAGTGTCTTAACGTGTGATTTGCTGCAACGCGATTTCTAAAGTAGTTTTTACATTACTTTTTCTACAGTTTATTGTGATTTCACATACTGTAATGGAAATCGCAATGCAAATCGCAAGAAATAGTTGAAATCTTCACAAGTCGCAATGAAGCCTTGAGAAATCGCACCTCAAATCACGCTGAAATCGCACACAAATCGCAGCGGTGTAACTGATGACTCAATACGTACATCTCTGTGAACTACATTGCTGTTACTTTCCTTTATCTCTGGGTTGCCACATTTCCTTTTGCCTCTACTAGTTTGAAAAAGACAAAATTGTATTTTGACATAGGATCCAATATATTTATGTTGATGAAATATGTTTTGTTACCATCATATGCCTTTGAAGGATTTGGACATTTTTAACCATTTGGCTCATTATTTTGTAAACAAGTTCCAACACAAAACAACATTTCCCAGCTTGCTGGTATGTTCTGTGGATGTTGCCCCTCCCAACCATTATTGACATTTATATGCTTTATTTCATCCCTTACACATCTTACATTAGGCCTCTTTCACACAGGCGTTACGTTTTTTTCATCAGTTCAGTCACGCTTTTTCTAAGAAAAAAACGGATCAGTTCAAATTAGTTTTCATCAGTTCATGTTAGCTTTTCATCAGTTTACATCCATTTGTGGTCCATTTACATCTGTTTTCATCCATTTACATCTGTTTTTTGTCCGTTTACATCTGTTTTTGGCCGTTTACATCTGTTTTTCGTGCGTTTCGTTTTTTTTTTTAACAGAAGAAAAAAAGGGTTTTCTTCCGTTCCAAAAAATTGATGCTAACGTATGTGGACATTAACGGATGTAAACAGATAATCATCCGTTTACATCCGCTAGTCCATAGAAATACATGGATGTTCATTTTTCATCTGTAAAGACAGATGAAAAACAGACATATGGATAGCCTGTGTGAAAGGGGCCTTAGTCTTTTTTTTTTTTTTTTTTTGCAGCTATGTAATCAGTGAAGTGATGGGCCTATTCATAATTTTATATTCTGATTTTTGTTCTTCTTTAAATCTATAGGGACTTCAGCAGAGGGAGGTCTGCATCTGACTTTCCAGCTTTCGTCATCTATTCTGATCATTGCAATGTGGCCTTTGTTCATCACCAGTGCCAGATTTATAAGGGGAAAAAGGCAAAAAAGCCCTGGGTCCCTTGACAGAGGGGGCCCTCCTCTTTACAAAAATAATATAAAACAATATAAAAAAGTATATAAATAATAAAATATAAATAATAATAATATATTAATAATATAATAATAAAATATTATAAAATATATAATAAAAATTAGTTTTATTAAATGTAGCTAGGAAAGTAATATTTTGCCAGCTATCATCTGTTGAACTGTTTACTCTGGACTGGTATATTGTATTGTTTTCTAAAAAACGAATTTTGGCAGCTCAAGCAAACCACACAATGGGGTTGATTTACTAAAGGCAAATATCCTGTGCACTTTGCGCACTGTACTGTGTCTGTAGTCTCTGGTCATCTCCTGTACTGTGTCTGTAGTCTCTGGTCATCGTGTGCTGTGTCCGCAGTCTCTGGTCATCTCTACTGTGTCTTCAGTCTCTGGTCATCTCCTGTACTATGTCCGCAGTCTCTGGTCATCTCCTGTACTATGTCCACAGTCTCTGGTCATCTCCTGTACTATGTCTGCAGTCTCTGGTCATCTCCTGTACTGTGTCCGCAGTCTCTGGTCATCTCCTGTACTGTGTCCACAGTCTCTGGTCATCTCCTGTACTGTGTCTGCAGTCTCTGGTCATCTCCTGTACTATGTCCGCAGTCTCTGGTCATATCCTGTACTGTGTCCGCAGTCTCTGGTCATCTCCTGTACTATGTCCGCAGTCTCTGGTCATATCCTGTACTGTGTCCGCAGTCTCTGGTCATCTCCTGTACTGTGTCCGCAGTCTCTGGTCATCTCCTGTACTGTGTCTGCAGTCTCTGGTCATCTCCTGTACTATGTCCGCAGTCTCTGGTCATATCCTGTACTGTGTCCGCAGTCTCTGGTCATCTCCTGTACTATGTCTGCAGTCTCTGGTCATCACCTGTACTGTGTCCGCAGTCTCTGGTCATCTCCTGTACTATGTCCGCAGTCACTGGTTATCTCCTGTACTATGTCTGCAGTCTCTGTTCATCTCCTGTACTTCGTCTGCAGTCTCTGGTCATCTCCTGTACTATGTCCGCAGTCTCTGGTCATCTCCTGTACTATGTCCGCAGTCTCTGGTCATCTCTTGTACTATGTCCGCAGTCTCTGGTCATCTCTTGTACTATGTCCGCAGTCTCTTGTCATCTCCTGTACTATGTCCGTAGTCTCTGTTCATATCCTGTACTATGTCCGCAGTCTCTGGTCATCTCCTGTACTATGTCCGCAGTCTCTGGTCATATCCTGTACTGTGTCCGCAGTCTCTGGTCATCTCCTGTACTATGTCTGCAGTCTCTGGTCATCACCTGTACTGTGTCCGCAGTCTCTGGTCATCTCCTGTACTATGTCCGCAGTCACTGGTTATCTCCTGTACTATGTCCGCAGTCTCTGTTCATCTCCTGTACTTCGTCTGCAGTCTCTGGTCATCTCCTGTACTATGTCCGCAGTCTCTGGTCATCTCCTGTACTATGTCCGCAGTCTCTGGTCATCTCTTGTACTATGTCCGCAGTCTCTGGTCATCTCTTGTACTATGTCCGCAGTCTCTTGTCATCTCCTGTACTATGTCCGTAGTCTCTGTTCATATCCTGTACTATGTTCACAGTCTCTGGTCATCTCCTGTACTATGTCTGTAGTCTCTGGTCATCTCCTGTACTATGTCTGCAGTCTATGGTCGTCTCCTGTACTATGTCCGTAGTCTCTGTTCATATCCTGTACTATGTCCGCAGTCTCTGGTCATCTCCTGTACTATGTCCGCAATCTGGTCATCTCCTGTAGTATGTCCACAGTCTCTGGTCATCCCCTGTACTATGTCTGCAGTCTCTGGTCATCTCCTGTACTATGTCTGCAGTCTCTGGTCATCTCCTGTAGTATGTCTGTAGTCTTGGTTCAGAATATTTTTTTTCTTGTTTTCCCCCTCTAAAACCTAGGTGCGTCTTATGGTCAAGTGTGTCTTATGGAGCAAAAAATACGGTAAAACTCAAGTGCTAAACGCACCCAGTGGCACTTTTACATGCATCAAGTGTTTTTTCTGCCAAAACGGTGCTGCTCCTGGATGAGTTGGCTGTGGGGTTTTTTTCTACCTCCAAATGCCCCTGCCTCTAAACTCCTATTTGTGCATGTGCATGAGCCCTTAACATTTAGGAAACCTGAGGGCAATTGATCTCAGTAGTGTCCACCCAAAATTGACATACCAATTGCCAGATCAACCTTTTAACATGCTGCAGCGGGCTCGTAAATGTACAAGTTTTACTGTACACTAAAACATTCTAAAACTGTTCTTCAGTGCCACATGATGTATATTCTGATGCAGAAGCTGCATAATCTGCTACATAATCAGTTCAGTTGAAGAACTGGTGAAATGAATTCAACATTGACAAATGGAGGTCCGCTAAATTTAGTGGGAATCTGTACTTACAGTTGTGTAGGCTCTAAAGAAACATTAACCTCAGACTTAATCTTAAGGTCCTTCTGAATGTGATGGTCAGTTGCTTGGCGATGATCTCCCATGTACAATAAACCTGGTATGATTTCAATGGGATGTGGCTGAAAGTCATCTATTTCCTAGAAGAAAACCAAATAATCTTACGCTGGTTCTACACATACATCCTTCATATCCACTGAAAGATTGATCATTTGGGATGGAAAATCAAATTACACAATGACTAGCTTACACACATATGCAGCAACTGCAAAAGCTTACTTTTTTGGGAGGAAGTTTAGCAGGCATATTGAAAAATTGGATCAATCAATGTTTCTACATAAGTGTATGGCCACATATGCTATAGGATAACTGCACATTTAAAACATAGTAGCTCGATTAATACACACATACCAAGCAACACTGCAAGTATGACCTTCTCCCTGTATTTTGAGAGCAGTTATCATAAGCCCAGTGTCACTGAAAATGATTTATGGTGAATAATTTTTCCAGTCTCATTTCCTCCAGTTGTAAATAGGGCTGTTGCAAGAATTCAACAACTTACAAAATAAAGGGCAGCAGCAGGGGTTGGGCTGCTTGCGACAGCATATGTACACAGAGCAAAGGTCACTAAGGCTACAGTATGTGAACTGGGTTTTTAATGACTATCTTCTTTGGGTCAGGATCTAATTCCAGACAGTAGATGCTGTGTGGTGCCTGAACAAAGGGGACTGATCTTGGTGAGGTAACAAATACCTGTGTTATGCTTACAAATATCGCATGAATGCATGTCACATGCAAAGATTTTGTGGGTATTTATGTCCACTTTGGCACAAGTTTGTTTACAACTTAAAAAAAACCTATAAAGCATGTCTATCCACTCTTTATTCTAACCTTGGCTCAACCGTTCGATCTATACTATACTGGGCTCAACTGTTCAATATATTTTGATGTTCACGGCTGAAATGTTCAAACTAATTTTAGCTCCTGTGTCTCAGCTGTTCAATCTATCTTTAGATCCTGGGCTCAACCATTCAATTTATTTTTAAATCTTGGGCTCAACAGTTTGATATGTTGTTAACCACCTGCCCTCCAGAGTATTTACCCCCCTTCCTGACCAGGCCATTGTTTGCGCCACGGCGCTGCATTACTTTAACTGACAATTGCGCGGTCATGCACCGCTGCACCCAAATAAAATTGACATCCATTTTTTTCCCCACGAATAGAGCTTTATTTTGGTTGTAGTTGATCACCTGTGAGGTTTTTGTTTTTTTCACTATAAAAAAAAAAGACTGACAATTTTGAGAAAAAAATATTATTTTTGGCTTTTTGCTATTAAACATGTCCAATAAAAAAATTTAAAAAATCAAATTTCATCATAAATTTAGGCCAAAATGTATTCTGCTACATGTCTTTGCTAAAAAAAATACCAATATGTGTAAATTAATTGGTTTATGTGAAAGTTATAGCGTTATTAATGGTGGTATATATACTGGGATTTTTTTTTTTTTTACTAGTAATGGCAGCGATCAGCAACTTATACTGGGACTGCAGGGGGGCATTCTGACACTGGGGGGAACTGATTTGGTGTCACTGACATCCCCAGTGACACCAATACAGTGATCAGTGCTAATAAAAAGCACTGACACTGTACTAATGGCACTGGGCAGGAAGGGGATAACATGTGGGGTGATCAATGGGTTAACTGTGTGCTATTTTACTGTGTGCTGTGTTAGTGCTTTCAACTGTAAGCACACTGCTTTGTATGGCTGTGCATAGCACAGCCATACAAAGCAGTGTGCAGGAGCTCACAGGGGAGAGAACTGTATTGTTTACATACAGTTCTCTCCCTTCATCAGTAATGCTCGACGATCACCAGGTGCTAGCGAGTAATCACCAGCCGGGACCCAATAATTGACAGCCAAGGCTGCGCCCCCTACCCGGAATGGAAAATCAAGTATATATACGTAATTTTGCACACCCCTGCAACCATGTAGCAGTATATCTGCTATATGGCGTTTGGAAAGCGGTTAAATTATGGGCACAACTGTTTGACCTATTTTTAGATCCTGGGTTCAACAGTCTGCTTTATTTTTAAATCCTGGGCTCAACTGTTTTATCTATTCTTAGATCCTGGATTCAACTAATCAGTCAATTTTTAGATCCAGGGTTCAACAGTTTGATCTGTTTTTAAATCCTGGGCTCAACTATTCAATCTATTTTTAGTTCTTGGACTTCACTGTTCCTTCTATTTTTAGATCCTGGGATCAACTGTTCGATCTATTTTCAGATGCTGGGTTCATCTGTTCAATCTATTTTTAGATTCTAAGTTCAACCATTCAATCTATTTTTAGATCCTGGGTTCAACAGGTCAATTTATTTTTAAATTCTGGGCTCAACTGTTTGATCTAATTTTAGATCTTGGATTCAACAGTTCAATTTATTTTTAATTCTTGGGCTCCACTGTTTGATCTATTTTTAGATCCTGGACTCAACAGTTTGATATTTTTTTTAAATTGTGGGCTCAACTGTTTGATCTATTTTTACAGCCTGGGTTCAAATGTTCGATCTGTTTTGTAATCCAGGGCTCAGTTGTTCAATCCATTTTTAGATCCTGGGCTCAACTGTTTGATCTATTTCTAGATCCTGAGCTCAACTATTCAATCTATTTTTTGATTCCTGGCTCAGCTGTTCAATCAATTTTAGATTCTGGGCTCATCTGTTCAATCTGTTTTTAGATCCTGAGCTAAACTGTTAGATTTATTTTAGTTTGTGGACTAAACTGTTCGATCTACTTTTACAGCGTGTGCTTAACAGTTCGATCAATTTTGTGATCCTTGGCAAAATAGTTTGATCTATTTTTAGATCCTGGGCTCAACAGTTTGATCAATTTTTAGATCCTGGGTTCAATAGTTTGATCTGCTTTTAAATTCTGTCTGTTTGATCTATTTTTAGATATTGAACTTAGCTGTTCGATATACTTTTAGACCTTGGGCTCAACAGTTTGATCAGTTTGTAGATCCTGGGCTCGACAGACCGATCTATTTTTAAATTCTGGGCTCAAATGTTTGATCTTTTGATCTATTTTTAGACCCTGAGTTCAACTGTTCAATCTACTTTTTGATCCTGGGCTCAATGTTTCGATTAATTTTTAAATCATTGACTCAATAGTTTGATCTATTTTCAGATCCTGCTTCCAAGGTTCAATCTATTTAAAAATTTTGAGCTCAACTGTTTAATCTATTTTTAGATCCTGAGCTCAACTATTCAATCTATTTTTAGATCCTGGGTTCAACAATTTGATCTATTTTTAAATCCTGGGCTCAACTGTCTGATGTATTCAAAATACTAACAACATACAAATGTATTCACAACTCTCGACAAAGTTATGTCTCCAATCTTGTTTCAAAATATCACCCAACCATAGCCCCCTCGTCTCCTCCTACCATATTTGTTTCCAGGACTTTTCCAGAGCCTCCATCATCCTCTGGAACTACTTACTACAATTTTTCCAGTTATCCCCTACTCTATCCACCTTTAGGCAGTTCCTGAAAACTCATCTCTTCAGGAAAACCTACATACAGGTATTAATTTGTTATACCACTTACCCCTCCCTTGTAAATTGTAAGCTCTCATGAGAAAGTCCCTTACCCTCTTTTTTTTTATCTGTACTTGCTCACTTTATATTGTAAGGTGCTGTGTAATCTGTGCTATACTATATAGGTCCTGTATAATAAAAATATTACCAATATAACCCTTCAAGCATATAATGCTTTGGCATTAATTAGTGGTGTCCACTGGATGTGGTACACATGACATTTTAAAAAAGTCAGCAAATTACACAGGGAATGTGTAGTACACCCAGTTCCTCTGCTTTGCTGCTATGCCCCCCAAACTCATCGGCATGCACACTGAGCATTAAAAACGCTACTTTTAGAGCAAATGGTGTGTTTTTTTTTTCTTTGTCTCTAAATGCGGCTACGTTAGCCTAGGGGGGTTATTTACTAAAACTGTATGGCGCAAAATCTGGTGCAGCTCTGCATAGAAACCAATCAGCTTGCAGGTTTTATTGTCATAGCTTCATTGAACAAGATTGAACAAGCTGAAGATAAAAGCTGATTGGCTACCATACACAGCTGCACCTATTTCTGAGTGCATAAATACAGAAGCTTTTTTTTACAGCAGTGTTGTTAACACTGTCAACACTGTTCAAAACAAAAAAGAGAGCTACAAAGTAACATTGTTACTTTGTATTTACACTACTTCATTTATCTTTAGATGAAACAAAGGAGCTTCAGCCTAAAGGTGATGTCAGTTAAAGCAGCCTGACAAGCATAAATAAAAGTTTGTTTCTTTTTGCTAAAAATTGTCTGTATTTCACTTAATATTAGAATTATATTAAAGTCATTTTTTTTCATAAATCTGATAATAATAGAACTTGGTAGTGACTCAGGAGCTGCTGTCAATCACCACTGTCAAGGAGCAGAGGTATGGATTGAGCTCCGTGTCCCTCATGTACTGCCCATGTATATGACGCTCTGAACAGCTGCATGTACAGTAATAGTTCCCAGTGGGAGCATGCACATACAGGTGCCTCCTACAGTACTCTATAAGTCCTGGTGGGCACCGGGTCACCAACACAACAGGAGTATGATAGCATGGTCAGGGGAAAGTTACAGAAACAAGCTCAGAGAAGAAAACTTAAATAAAGAAAAACAGCCTGTGGGTAATCTATGTAACATGGGACCCGCAGTGTTCTGCATATAGGTTTCCTCTTACAGTCACCTACGGATCACTTCTTTTGATATTTTTGTTAATTCTTCATTTTCCAAGCTTATTTATGAAGAATAAAGTTAGTTTACGCTCATTAGCCTCAATTAACTCCTTCCCCTTCTCTCTTCAACTATTATTTCCCTAATTATATATTTTTTTATATCTATGGTATTAACCATTAATATTTAAACTTTTTTTGTTTTTACTTGGTTTGTCACATTAAAAAAAATTATGCAAAACTGGACCCAAAAATGTTTTTGATCTGTACATAACTTTGCAACGCTTTGTACTAGAATCACAATTATAGCGT